ATGAAAGGGCGAGCATGTTTGGTGTGATGGGGATTTGAACCCGCGACTTGCAGATTGCGAGCCGAGTGCCCTAACCACCTGGCCATGCCGGGTCAAATTTGAGAATACCGGAGTATAACTTGAATCGTTAATATTGAAGTCGGCGGTTAAAACAAATTTCCAAAAAAAAAAAGGATTAGAGTTCTCATTATAATTATATTAAAGGCTAAACGGTTTATAGTTATATGCTATTACTTTTATAAATTGAAATTTAATTTTACTCGATGAAATAAAAATTGAATCATAATAATTAATTCTTGTTTGTTGTAATGTTATAGAAATTTACATTATGTTACTGATTTTGAGCGTTTAACTGCTGGTACAAATAAACTGGTCGAACGTTGATGATCTGATAATATGAAGTATCATATGTAGTAGATGAAAACTGAAATTAATTTCGGTTAGTAATATGGTTAACAAGATTAGCACATTGGAGCACAAAGCACTGTCGCAGTCGTTTGCAATGTATTTGTGTTTTAGTTTCAGGATAGGATATTTACAAATTGCAAGCAACATACGTTCTTGTTTTCTATCTGTGTAATTGTTTTCCGCAACTTTATTCGGTCAAAAGTGTATACTTACAGCCAAATACTTTTGTAACGAATTTGTTATTATATATTTATTTTAATATCGACGTTGTTTAGATTAAGTTTATATTTAAAAACATGCATAGCTTATACTGTTAAATATGTATTGCGAAACAAAGTACAATTTAACTACTAAATTTAAAGTATTATTTAGCTCAATTTCAGATCATTTGAAATTCTAATATGTAACACTTTAGAGTGACTTTGTAGTAGTAACGAAACTGAAATTATACTACAATAAAGTGACATACAGGAACGTGTTTGTAAACGTTCATGTGATAATTAACGCTGTTAACAGTTGTGGAGACAATAAGCATTGTGCGAACTAGGAAGAAGTTTGTTTTATCATTCAGTATATAAAAAACGATAACATAATCGTGGAAGTCTTGGGTTCTAATTTGTTTACTTCGGGAACTTACCAGTGTCACATGTATCTGCACATTCGAACAAATGATTACTACCATCTGCATGTTAACAGAAACCAAAACAATTTTCTAACTCTGTATCTGACATTATACCACCTATAGGTTCATAATATTTATTTGACAGTATACCATATGCAGATTAGCAGAAACCGTGTAACTGGATATACGGGTTAATATCACCTTTCATTCTTTCTATTCTGACAACGTCTCGAGGTCTAAAGGTTGTATTGATCAAAATTCGATGATTATCTAAAATAACTTGATTAAAGTTATATTGTAAAGCATTTGTGTTACGTCATTGCCATCATAGCAATAAAATTATTAGGAAATGAAATTAGATGTGTGTGTATGTGTACTTGATTAAGCACAAAGCTACACAATAGGCTATCTGTGCTCTGCCCACCACGGGTATCAAAACCCGATTTTTAGCGTCGTAAGCCTGAAGATTTATCCCTGTGCTACTGAGGGCTAAGTTAGAGAAGTTCTCAGAAACTATCTAAAATTTCAACCTTGTTGTTGAACCTTAGTATGTGAGCATGAAAAGAATAAGTACGTCGGGAAAACGCCATATTAGAATAACCTGCTTCAAAATATTTTTTTAAACATTATACAGGTTTTATGTATTTTTCAGAAAACATTTTATTTTGATCATCCTGTTGTCATCGTATTTAGTTATAGCGTTTTCCATCAATTATTTTCTGATATATATATAGTCAAAAAGATCTAACGCACCTAAATAACCTAATTCTTACTTTATCAATAATCCATTTCATTCTTCTAAGTTTATTCCTCTTTGCTGAAGACCCATTTGACCAATTGTGCTTCTGCGTATGTCGAGACTGAGCTTAAACAGTACTTGACAGATCTCTATCTGATGCCATTGGGCTTTGAATTCCTTAAATAAAATTCAGGTTCGATGACGGGTTCATCGTTGAAGTGACACAAACAACAACTGACATACTATATATCTTCGGTTTCAGTGCAGATTCATATTGTTTTCACTAGTTTGACGAAAACTGTTGCTCTTTGTAGTTTTGCACATTATTTTATAGAATAATGTTTTTTTCTGTCCATGTGATTTATGAAACCAAAGGTAAGGTTATGGTAGTCAAATACACGACATGATATGCACGTCAAAACAACAAGAATTATCAGTCACTATGGTTACAGTTACAGTAATTAAATGCGCGAACATATAAATCGTAATATTGTGAAATAAAAACTGATAAAAAAGATTGAAACTGAATGTAATTTACAATATATTATATGTATAGGGCTTCTGCCTTACTTCGCATAGCTTAGCTGAGTATAAAAATTGGGGTAGAGGCGTTTTTCACAAAAAAAGCACTATACATATTAAGCCATACAGGTCCAGTAACTATCGAATATCATGAAAAACCTTTTTTATGAGCGCACCTCCTCCTTAGCAAGTAATCCAAAAGCAAACCAATTTCATATTACACTTTCCCATATATATTGAAAAAGAAAAATATTTTATAGAACATCCCCTATGTCGTAACTGCAGTAGATATTGTAAATTGTTGAGCAGGAACAAAATGCACACCATAACAAAATTCTACAAGTCAAAAATTGTAAATAAAACTTTCAGCACTTTGGCTTGTTTCCCATAATAACCGCAATAAAACATCCGATTGCAATGCGGAGGATAATTTGTTGTTGTCGTTTACGTTTCCAGCTCTTTCCCCATTTACACTGTTTAACTTCCAGTTTATACTGGGGTTAGAATAAGCGCTTAAACCTGCATTATAGAAGTATTTCATAATTAGAATATTTTTTACTTCTTGATGTAGAATACAGTTTTCCGTAGAAGCAAAATTCAAGATTATTTTAAAATTGAATGTATCAAATGCACCCAATTCAAACAGTAGAAATCTTGACCCCATCTCAACTGTGAAATGGGCTGCTTTGAACAAGAAGTGACGAAACTGCTTTGCCATTTCTGCCAAGTTTCTCGACTTGACCTCTTCACTTCCCCTGTCTTACAGCAGTTGTTTGGAGAATGAAAGCTACTGAAAATCCTCGCAGAGATTTTTCTCATTTTCAGGAAATTTGTGTGTATTTTCCATGTTTTCAAGACAGACAAAAAAGATGTAGGAATACAGTCTCCTTAAAATAACCAGTAAAAAATTTTAAGGTAAGAAATTTAAAGTGCATTATAAGAGCTTCTAAATAAAGCTCATTATGGACTAAGAGATCATTTTTATTTGTAGACTTTCACCAAAGGCAGAGTTGGGTAAGTAATTTGCCACTCAAAAAAATCAGTCAAGTTGCACATCTACTTAATTAGAAATTATATCTAATAATGAGTTCAGCTATTTTTTTTTGCCTGAACTACAGCCTGTATCGTGTAGAATAGAATCCATAAGATGATGGAAGGTGTCGTGAATAATCTATCTCATTTAGCCGTTAATACTGTAGGCAATTCATGAAGCGAAATAGGCAAAGGATAGTGATGACGAATGTCTCTGAAATTTGTACCACAGATGCTCAGTTGAACAGAGAATCGGGGATAGCGAAGGCCATAGGAGGTGCTTGAAATTTCCGTTATGGTAGATGGATGCATTGTTGTCTTTGAAATATCTGTCCTTATCAGGGTATGCATGAAGTATCGCTAGATGTACTTAATCAAAAATGATGCTGAGGTATGCTGTGAAATTCATTCTGCCTTTTAAAAGGACGAAGGAGTCCTAGGTATGCCAGAATAACATGCTCCAAACCATGACTTTACGCTTTTCTTATAGTTTTTTTTTTATATATACTAAGTCTTGAGAGTGACTGGACTATAGGCCTATCCTTCTCGTAGCATTTCTTAGAGCTATCTCTCAACATTTAATGGCTTTTGCCGATACCTTTGTTACATTTTTTCATCCATCTAGTCAGGTTGGCGGCTATTTCTTTGGCTGGATTAATGGCTAAGACTTGTTTCGCATATTCAGCATTACTTTCTAACCTTATCTCTTTCTTACAGTAGTGCTCTCTTTGCTGTTACAGCCTTTTCAAGGTTTATTGCCATAGGAAGCAATTTCGAGATGGTTAGGTCATTGTCACATTGCCATTTCCAGGCAATGCTACGAGATTAAATTTTGAGCCATTTTTACTTCAGATACTGCATACGCACAATGTAACGTGTTGTATTAAAAGAACCAAGTTTTAATACACAAGTTGTTGCTATATATGCCACTAAAAAGTAATCAAGCCTTGGCCCGACTGCTTTTTATAGCCCTGAGGTTATCAACATAATATTTTCTCCTTTTCTCTCGTTTTATTTTTCCTTGAAAGGCATATTTTAAAAATCGTACTGTTTCAAGTATAACCCTAGAGGTCAATAGGTCGCATTTAGTTTGAAAATAATGCAAAGGTAAATTATACACCTTATCTTCTTGTTTTAAATCCAGAGCACTTGATCAAAGCCGTGTCAGACTTCGGAAGTAGTAGCGTTCGTCCTCACGACTAATACAGATTCAGACTGATCACGTAGCGTGTACATAAGCAATCGTGCACACGATATGATATTGGGTCAGGTTGTTACTTGGCAACTCACAGAACATGTTTATAATTATAAAATATGGCTAATAGTGTACTTTTAGCTTGTTAGTAGTGTTATTACGAAGGCTATAAGTAAAACTAAGAAAAACGCTTTTAGCCAATGTAGCGTAATTCAATCATGTGCACTTTGATTTGAATAAGGTTAAGACAGGAGAGAATTATGCCTTTCCAGCAACGTTAGTCAGTCAGATTGACAAATTTGTGGTCTTGTGAAATTGTTTTCACTCTACAGACTTTCTCAAGTACTTTGGGGGCTTGTTACTCTCTAGTTGGTTTGTTTACTACTCAACAATGTGTATAAAGCGCTTATAAAGTTTTGTTTACATGTTGTTTGCAGTGTTTGAGATTTTAATTTGTATTGCACATTTATCTCATCGCTACTATAAGTACGGTAGTACTTATAAAGAGCAATAATTTACAAACGTTTAATTCGTCTATTTTATTGTGTCTATCACCTCTATTTACCTTGTCGCCAAAAGAATGGCTCTCTCTTTTAGAGTTAACAAACGGCCAAATATCATTGTAACCATGACTTGTTTGGAAATTCACGCACAACTACACAGGGTCTATCTGCTTTAGCCAGTCCCATAACATCCAATAGTCCCAGACCTAAGATGTATGGTATATTATATATACCCCCACCACTGGTATTAATATAGCCGTTCCTGATTTTAAATTGATAAACTTGAGGGAAGGTGTGCTAGTCAAACAGCATCCACTAATCAAATAGTGGGATTTGATAATTTTTTAATACATACCAACAATCCCAAATAGGCACTAACCACATACCCTTAGATTCACAACCCACCACTTTAATTACTAATCTACGCCCAAACCCCTGCAATCAAGTAGTTCACTTTCCAGCTAAAACACGAGGTAACAGAAATTTTATGCCATTTATTGGGATCGTCGAAAACTACGTTCATTTTAAGTATTTTAATTATGAGCAATTTACAGTAATGTGTAAGTCATGTGTAAAAAAACGTTCGATTTGAGTGGCATAGCATATGGGTTCCAAAAGCTCCTTAGCACCCTCCACTCCTCAGAATAATCCACATCCTGAGTAAGGCCCACAGTTTGGAAGCCCATGGAATAGAGGATCATATTTTAAACACAAGTATCTCATTGTATATCTTCTAGTCACTCGCGGGTTTCCGATTTTGCTCGAGTCAATACCAAATCTTCTCTGATTATATTATAATCTTATAGTTAGGATCAGCTGTTTTTTTTTCTACTCCATATTATTTTTACAGTATGCATTCAAATCCTTGGTATAATTTAGAATTCATGTTGGGTATGAAGTCCAATTCTTTAGGTGCATACAAGTATTTGTTTGAAAGTCTCACATAGCTTTCCCACAGAAGAATCATAAAATATTTAAAAAGTTTTTACTCTTTAAAAACACTACTGTATTAAATTTATAATGAATAAACAAAAACTTGATCTTCTTAATTACAGTATATAATTTTCCTTTAAACAATTATACCAAATATCCAGCATCGAATTTCAATTTTATTTTCCACACATTTTTATGATTTTGTGGATACTATTTAATCAAATTGTCCTACTTTGACAAGTTAATTTATATTTTGTATTTATCATATGTCCCAGTTGTAAAATTAAAGTCATTGAAGAAAATAAACCCACATGCACTTTTATTTTACAGATTTTATTCCCACATTTATATCTTCACATCAATTTACCATTAACATGATTAATATGTTTATACACTTGCAATTACTTCACTAGATCAAGGTTCATAATATAATTTTATTTCCTTAATACTCAAATTCAAAATCTGTGCTCACTACAAGACAGTTTCAGTGTGTTACTGTATTAATATTTGCTAATTTCAAAGCATTAGATAATCCAAGTTTCAAAAATTTGTTAAAATATAAAAAATTCCGTAATTAATTATCTATACTAAATATATATTATACTGAAACTTACTAATATTTCTAAACATTTTGCTGATATTCAATGGTTTTATAAAATTAATGTAACTGATAAAAAAATTCTATAAGCCAAACAAACACAAACAAAACTGATCCCTATAAATTGTTATAACACTTGATGACAATAGCAGGAATTCATCAGTTGCTTTATGGTACATTAGATACTGCCTCATAGAAAGCTTTAGCTACATATTCCACATTGTTGGTATTAAGACCACAGATGCTAATACGTCCACTCTTGGGAAGATACACGTGGAATTTTTCAACCAAGTATTGAACCTGGGGCTCTGTTCAAATAAAAGATAATAAATGACCAGACATTCAAAGTAAAAGACCATATTAATTGGAAAACAAGATGATATTGCTATATACAGAAACTGAAAATTATAAAACACCATGGACATTTGAATTGTAAAACTACCTATTAAAAAATACAAAATCTATATCAGTAATAAGTAAAATCATAAAAAGGAAGAAGGAACAAAAAAAAAGACTTAGATATGAAAAAATATATAAAAATAGCAATAAAACAGGCAAGAGCAAATCTACAATAAGAAAAACTACCAATAAACTTTGAAGAAAGAAAAATTAAAAAAGTATGGCAGAAATCATAGTTAAAATTATGCAAGATATAGTCAATCAACGAAATAACTAAAAGGAATTATTTTCATAGAGAATAATAAATGGAATAGAATTTATGTTTACATTTAGGTGAAAATTATTATAAAATATAGAACAGTAGATACTAAATCAACAATTGAAATAAAAAATGTATAAACCATATTAACAAATACAAGAAAATTAAGCAATAAAAACTACCATTTGAGTAAGAAAGCTCAATGATAAAAACAGCATGATTTTTAAAATTTTACCATGTTTGTGCAGATCATTGAATTGTTGGAAACTGAAAAACTAAACATTCTAATATTTTACTATCTACCAAACTTTATGCAGGTGTTTGTCATTACAAGGTTATCATTTAATAAAACCTTTTTCTAATGACTTCAATGTAACTGTAAAAGATGACATTTTTTTGTTTTACTTCTCTAACAGGATATCTTTCTTTGTGATTCTACACAATGCCATTATCAAGTTTTCCTACGATATTCTCGGTATATTAAGAAATATTTCTTTTTCAGAACCTAAATAATAAAACATATTTCCAAATAATTGTAGATTTTTGATGTTGAAGATAATTTAAAAGCATCTCCAACTTATTAAGGTCTTTTATCTTATACATACTGTGAACCTATTTGTTTTTATGAGCATTTGTCTATATCCTGTTTATGGCAACCACTTCCCGTGTTGCATTTGAAAAGTTGAGCACATAGACAAAGCTCAACATTCACTTTTGAAATGATGGAAGAATAGGCATGAATAATGTTGAAGTAAAATTGCAAGCAGGATATTGAACACTAAATTGCTAGGAATTAATCACATTATCATTTACATTTCAAAATCTGACATAACTTAAAAGAATAAAAATGTAGATTTGCAGTATATTGTTGTTGATCAGCTTTTAGAATGACTGAAATGCTCAACAATTACTTTTTTGGTGTGTGATACAAGTAGCTCAAAGAGTGCTACGCACCTTTTTAAAGTCCAAGAAATCATTTAAATTGACAGATTAACTTAAACTTTTCCCATCACTGGGAATGGAAAAGTTGCTTGTATAAAAATATTTTAAATGGTTGCAGAAAATTCAAACTATGGTCAAGATTTTGGTATACATTTACTGTAGCATTTTTCTTCTGAATTATACTTTTATTTTGTTTGATTTTTAGATTCTCTCAAAGTTATAGATGCAATTATGTTTAAGTTATATTCAGCTTCTATTAACTCCTTTCTTGCAGTGACCCCATTTTCTGCAGTCACAAGATTTTACTTAGTTACATTTAAAATTTAATTAAGCTAGTTGATGATCAATGTTTGTCAATGAAACCTGCAATAAAATTTACTTTATAGTTCAAAGTTTCATATTATCTGTTTTTATTTAAAAAAAAACTTAAAGAAAACTTCTTAGCTTTGTTTTATTCCTTCATGATCTGCATATGTAGAAAGAATACAAATTCAATGCTCTGTTTACACATTCTTCTTTCAAGTTCCACAGAACACATGTGAAGAAAGGAGAAATAAATTTCTTTGAACTCATGACAGATACCATGCCCACTTTCTACCAATGAGCTGCAATTTATCAGCCAATTATACTTAATTGAGCTAGATGTTTATAACCAATGGAAAGAACACTTTTTGAAGTACATTCTCTTAACTGTTATTTTAAAATTGGCATGAAGAATTATATAGAGAACTAGACAAACTGCTCTTAGCATTGTTGCTGCCTTGTCCAGGAAAGGACAATAAATTATTAAAATAAATTACATGTGAAAAAGTTAAGACATACAAAAAAAAGAAAATATTTTAAGATTATTTCACCAAATATTAAGGTATGTACATTTTTCCTACATCTTAATTTTACACATTTCATTGTAATGTACTATAGACTACATAGTAGAGGTCAACAATAATAGCTACAGTTAGTAATATCATCGAGAAAGTGGGGAAAAAAAAACAACTTAAAAAGAACTTTTGATACTCACTTTGCAGGTTCTAGGGGTTATGCAAATGAAATTTGAAACCTAGAAGTTTAAATACTTTTTTTTCTTTTTTAATACTAGTGTTGTTTTGTTGGTTGCTTAGGTACATTCCCGTAAACTTAAAGTTAATACAAAACTAGTGTAACAAACTAGAGTAGAAGAAATTTCTAAAACACATTAAGTATGCAAATCACAAAAACATTCCAATGCTAAACAAAATAAAATGATAAATTAAAATTTTGTTTGTTTAGAATTGAAAGGTAAACTGTAAAGACCACAAATTTCTAGAATTAGTGTAAATAAAGAGCCATAGAAGTATTGAAAAATACATGTATGCAAGTGACTTAACTGGTACATGCAAAACTTTACTATGCAAGTGTTAGTTTGATTCTGGGACTAAATACACTAAACTGATTAAAAATCTTATGTTTAAACTAAGGAACAGGTTATATATATATATGGTGTTTTAAAATGTCTTTTACTTACTAACGTGAACCTATATTCATATAAGATTAACAATGTGTAGCACCAATGCTACTAATTTATTAGCATGAAGTACTTAGCTGATAAATATCAGTGCTATATATTCTATAAATTTTATACAAATATAGATTCAGTGTGGAGAATAAAAGACATCTCAAAGAAGACTATACACATATACACTCCACCATCATATGTAACCTAATCCACCAAAACCAGTGTAACTCAGTGACAAGTGGTTTATAATGATAGTTTGGAACATGTTTACTTTTAGTAAAAGCAAAAGGTTAATAACAAATTTATGCTAACAAGAAATTGTGTGGTTAGAGGTATATTTGAACATACAAATGGATGAATCAACAATAACATTGAAGAATATATTGGGTACGATGCTATAAACCTTCTACTTACGGTTAAGTCCAGTATAAGAAAACATGCCAATTTGATTAGTGATATGTTCCCATGTTCCAGGTGTCCCTAGTTCTTCTAGCTTATTTCGCAAAGCTTGTCTCATTTCTTTGATCCGTCCAGACATCTCTTTAATGTGACCTTGCCTAGATTAGTTTCAAGCTGTACTTCATACATTTGATATTATATGGTATACATTATATATATCCTTTATAATAATCTTTCACGGGCTAAAATAATACTTCAGTCATAGGTGATAGGAAGTGATTTTTGCTCTACTTAAGGTGGCTTGATTGTGGACAAGATATAGCAATAAATATATAATTAATATTAACAAAGAATGCTATTCTCTTCTTAAATACTCTTATAATCTTTAGAACCTTCATTAGTTATTTTAACTTTGATGTTAAAATTTGAATTTAGTTTTGATGTTTTTTATTTATTTATTATTATTATTAGCAACTTCTGCCAAATAATATTTAAGCATAACTGAGAGGTTCTGTAGCATAGTAATATAAATAGGCAAATTACACAGGCCGGCAAATGTAAACTTCATAATAGTTGTTTTAGTTTTAATAATGGATTTTCCATAATTCAGCTATGGCATATTTCAAAAATAATATTAATTTTTTTTCCATCATGTAAGGATTTTTTTACAAATCAGGAAGAAAAAAAACTTACTTAGATCAAATTATTATTTCATTTACCACAATGAACATTTTTTATTATTAGGCTTGTTAAAAATACAAACAAACTGAAGAAAAGTGAAGAACACTGATGTCAAATGAATATGCATCCTCATTCATCCTTATTTTTTTGTGAAATCTGTCTTTTAGTCTCTAAACTACATGTTGTGGTCTTTCTTTTATGTATTGCCTTACAATGTTTTGTGAAAAATCTATACGTGATGGAGAAAAATGGATATCGTTTTCAAATTCAGTGTACAGGAATTACTGAGAAACATGTAAAATTTTCATGGCAATAAAACCATTGCAGGCCTATGTTATTATTTAGAGCTCTATGCTAAAAACATATGCTAGCCTATTTATAGAAGAATACTCTCAACTAATTTCCAAATTTCCCAAATCTTTTGAACTATTTAACTTACAATACAACAGCATTACACCTTTCAAAGATTAATAAGCAAATATCTGGCTGAACCATTACATGATTGAAAAAACAGTAACAGTAATCCTGACCCTTTCTAACTGTCAGTTATTGTTAAAACATAAGGACATTTCAATGCTAAAAGTTATAACTAACTATAGTGTAACTGTAAAACAACTGAACTTACAAAAATAAACTATTACAATTTGAATTTTAAAAAATGTAACTTTCACTTTACACACTAACCATTCTTCATAGAGGGTTGCATCATTTAGGACCTTTGAAACAATTCGAGCTCCATGTACCGGAGGGTTAGAGTAGTTTCCTCGAACCAACAAAGTGATCTGAGCACGGACATTCACAACTGGCGAAGAATCTTTGAATACCAATGTCAAATTACCAATCCTTTCATCTACATAAAAAAAAACAACCCACAACAGTTTTAGTATACATAGTTAGCATTTAAGTGTTATAAAGTCTAGAAACTATTCATCTGATGCCACACGATTATGTGCACTGACTAGTAGACAAAAAACTGAAATTCAACATTTTGACAGTTTGTTCTACAACAGGTCTTACAGAACTAAAGAAATTACAACTGACTTTATTCATTGTACAATGCCAACAAACTGGGTTTCATAACTAAATTTCCATCACATACCAAGGAAACTAAAAGGAAAAGAGTCAACACTAGAAGTTTATGAAGATTATAACACAATCATCTACTCACTGAATTTCAGCACTGTTTTAAAAGGAATATAGGTTTGCTGGAAATAAAAATTCTTATTCAACAACAAATGATTATGACGAGATCTTGACTTGTGCCATTTTCTTACTAGAAATTAGTTTTTATTAAGTACCAATATAGAAGATGAAACATTAGAGGTTTCTTTCCCAAATCATGAATTATATTTTCTAATTTTCACAGTAACAGTTTTAATTAGAGATAATTTTGAACTTCACAATAGTTTACAATACTGCACTTTATTGAGAAACTACCTGTCTAAACCTTCCATTATGATCATATTCCTTAAGTGGCACTTAACACAAGTTTGTATCCTTTGTTTTTTATATTTGTTAACAATCCTTAGCTTTAATGGTAGAAGTTCTCATTAATAAAATGTAAATTTATTCAGCATGACAAAACAATGTGCACATGCAACAGTAACTACTTTCTTGTCTGTCATTATCTAAAGTTGATGAGCCTTCTTTTTTTTAGACCTAATTTTTGAGTGTAAAATACTTAACTTCATGAAACATGCATAATTTTATAAACCATAGTACTGAATCTTATGTACAAAATCTGGCACAATTATACACCACAAGTTCTTCGTGATTATTTGCTATTCCATACTGGGCAGACTAATTGTTGATCACGGTTTTTTCTTTTTTTTTTTTTTATCATTATTATAATACTGTTTAGTTTGAAAGTTGCAAAGATATCTGATTCCTAGTCCATTTAGTGCACAGTTCCATAACACTAACTTACCAGCACTGTTTAAATATGAGAATACCAACTTTTTACCTACCAATGATTCTCATGCAACTAGATGTTACCAAACAAAACAATAACAAGAATAGGGTCTATCAAAATACATTCAAAAACATGGCACTAAAATATACATACCAGTTACCATCAGATATGTCTCAATTAATGTTGTACTAAGTAGTAAACAGATACTATGAAGCACTAGTAAGAAAATTACCATCTCAATACAAAACTTTTTCATTCACATGAATATTTAAACTGTCAAACTTGTAAGTATATATAAATGAATGCTATTCAAACAGAATAGCACTTACTCTAAGTAAATGAACTAAAGATAAGGGGGGGGGGTATAAATGTGAAGTGTTTACTAAAAACTATGGTAAATAAAAAACAACTCACTGTATAGGCCAAAATTTTTTGCAAATGACTGAGCACACAATAGTTCAAACCCACGAGAAACGAAGTAACGGACAGCCCAACTATCATTTTCTAGGTTTCCAGATGCAAATCCCTGGTAGGCACAGTCAAAAAATGGGAACAACTTTCTTTGCTAAAAGAAATATATCATAAATCATTCAAACACCATCAAAACAGTAAAAAAAACTATAAACAAACAAGTAAATGATAACAGAGCAAAGTTAATATATCATGTAGTTACAAATAGATAAGGTACAATAACATTGTGAACTGTAACATGGAAGTACCTACTATATTTTCATTATCTTATTTTTGCACTACTTTTAAGTCACAATTAAAAAAGTTATCAATAAATTACCAAACTGAACAAAATTATATATGACCATATGTCAAGTCATCAAGGGATTCTGCACAACAGGTTTGGTGCTGAAGAAAAACCATGAGAATTCAGGTAAACTGATGGAAAAGGTGTTTATTTCTCTGTGCAAAAGCAACCATCAAGTTTTTAAAGAACTGAATATTTCCCAGAGTATTGCAGCTTGCTGAATTTTGGAATCTTCTTACATAACCTACATCATACACAAAGTAAGACACCAGTAACAAGCCAGAGCATGCACTCAGTACTATATACGAGTACTGGCTTATGTGTATGTAAATCCCCAATACCTGTTGCATTGTTGGTAGTCTGATGAGGTGGATATGTAAACAGAATCTTTGGTTCCTTTGATGCTTCTGCATATGATATTATTGTATTCCATTTCATTGAAAATCAGACAGGTGCTGCAAATAAAGCAACAGTTTTTTCATAATATCCGAGGTCATCTGAAGGAAAACTGTTTTATTCATCCAATCCTTTACTCTTTAGATGATCTAAAAGTGAATGCTATTACTGAAATTCACTGTATTCCACATGGATCACTTTTCATTGGGGGAGAAAAATGTAATTAACTAAACAAATTTCTGTCTCACAAGTGAGCATTTTGAAAATGTGTCTCATCAATGACTGACCTTTTCCTTGCATAGTAGTACTGGACCTATAGCAACTAGCTTTTTCTTATAAACTGTATTACCATTGTATAGTACTAAACAAAGCAGGTGTATGAAACATAAATATGGAGGAACACATCTAATCTACAAATGCTTGTGTTATTGTCTTTTGGCGAAATAGGTTACTTGTCTATTTTGATTACTATCCAAATATCAGAAGAATACAGAATTCTAAAACCTTAACCTACAACTTTGTTTACATTTTCTGTGAACTTACTGTGTCTTACATATACATTGCAATATTTTATTTCTAAAGATAATGTGTCACTACTCTCTGAAACAAGGCTTATCATGTGATAAAGTCTTAAAAAATATAGTTTGAAAATAAATATGAAAATTAATTGTATGTGTATTACTGATGTCATGTAATATTTAATGTGGCCTTTATACACTAATAACTATAGTAATTATTTAAGACATTTAATATGAAAAATTAACCTAAAACTCGGAGATATATAATCAAGCTAAGAACGGTTCAGAACATGCAAAATATATGCACACAAATTACACGTAATAACTATTACAAGTATATTAAGATCATGGCACCTATAAGCTTTTATCCCAACAACATATTTGGTCATATACTATTAAATACTAGCTGAATGCCCATCACATGATGGTAAATACTTAATTATTTTGCTTCAGAAAATGTTCTGAATAATCATCTTAAGATATTTTCTAAAAATTAGTTACATTATAATAATACATACTTTTTCTGTTATTTCATGAAAAATAATTGTATATTTTGTCATCAGGTGTTTATGTTTGTTATATTTTATACTTGCAATTCTTGCACAAGATCTCATAATTAAAAATACATCATAAATTTAGCACAAACACAAACATTAGTGGAAAGACCTCTACATGTTAAAACAACAGAAAATTGAAAAGTTAGCCTCAAGTGCATATTAAACTTACTGACATTTGTTTTATTATGCCTCTGCAGAGAGACACTGTTTTTCTTTTGTTTCTTCTTTGTTTTTCTTTCAAACTCTTTTCAGCCAATCTCCATTTTTTCATTTCTGGAAGATTATATCTTGGTCCAATACATCAAGACACATTTTTCATTCTTTTGATTGAGGATTTTTTAAAGGATTTTTTGGGTCAAACAACCCCAAAAATGTATGTTTTGTGTTCCTGCACAGTTATATTTACAGCGATCAAGATAAAGATTGGCACATTTATAAATTATCATTGACCTCCAAAGAAGTTGGATTTGCCCCCCCCCCTTTTTTGGGTGGGGGTGGGGGGGTTCAATTACTCAACTGTATTTTGACCTAATTAAATAGGACTTTATAGAAAGATACTTTTTTACAGGTCCCGTACATATACATATAAAATTATAGGATATGCCCATTTTTGGTCATTTTAGATGGGGTCAAAAGGTTAAATAAACCCATAATCTTAGGAATTGTGGTCAGTTACTTTGCCTTGTTTTGACCAATTTACCTGGAATTTAACACAAAGATACTTTTCTACAGACAACATACTTTGAGAAATAAAAATGTAGGACTCTCCCATCTTTTGTAATTATAGTGAGGGGTGGGAGGGTCAAGATGGCACAAAAACATAATTTTAGGTTTTTTTTTTTTATATAATTGCACCACTGTAATTCTGCCAGTTTACATGGAAGTTGATACAAAGATACCTTACAGGCTCAAAAAAAAAGATGTAGACAATTTTGCTCAATTTTTCAGTGAGGAAAGCACAATTTGGGGTTTTTGTGAACTATTCATGTGTATGTAAACCAACTTGCATAGGATTTGGTACAAAGATATCTTCTTGCAGGTGCCAAGCAGTGATATAAACAATATAATTTTTCTATATTTTTCACAATTCTTGATGGTGTCAAAACTGACCATGTTGGGATTGCATGGTGGATACATGTTGCATTTGCTCACAAACGCTGGCCTCTTTAATTTAATTGTGTATTCTAATCAAGTATGTGCATATAATGGCTGGAGAC